GTCCTCCTCCTTGTGCTTCTAACTAGCCCCACTCCTGCCTCCCCCCCACACCCCAGCTGCAATGCAGACAGCATGGATTTCAGCAGCCATTCTGGTCCATGATGCGGCCTAAGGAATGGAAGACACATCCAGCAAGCCGAGAGGTGGCAACAGGGCCTGCTTTATTGGCTGAGCGCAGCACAGGAAAACACCTTCAACACACAGGCTTGCAGCACCGATGCTGTTTTTCATCTGTCCATTGGGCCTGGTCAGTGGCCAGGCTATGTCGTTACAAAACTTTTAGGCTGCTCACGTGGACATCCTGCAACTGTGTGCTGCTGTACTCAGTGACAGCTCTGACCTTCCAGTCATATCTGCCAGGAGGAAAGATTAACATATGCAGCTAAAATTACTGTTGTTATCAGTTCTCTCTCTTTGAACCTGTGTTGACCATCTTTGTTGTTTGTTAGGATTTCTGCAACTGAGGACTTCAGGATCCAGGTTGGGGAGGTGGCTCAGTTGATGCGAATTTGAGAACGATCCCCCAAACCCTCATTTAAAAGGCTACATGAGGGTCTGAAAATGGGCGCATGCGTTAAGAACACCAGCTGCTCTTGCAGAGGACCCATGTTTGATTTCTAGCACCCAGAGCCAACTCCAGTTCCAGGGTATTCGATGCCCTCTTTTGGCCTCTGAGGGCGCCAGGCATGCATGTGGTACAGACATACATGCAGACGAAACATCCACGCGTGTGATGTGATGGCACACTTGTAATCCCCATGCCGGGAACAATGACAGGCAGATCCCAGTGGCGAAGAAGCGGATGGCCATAGGTTGGGGTTTGTAGCCCATTCATTCATTCATTCATTCATTCTGACATGCTCGTTATGGCACAGTGTGCCAGGCTCCGGCCCAGAGTGCTTTCCTGCACTGCCTGACTCGACAATGTGCCATCTGTTAAGGAAGGAAGCCGGAGATGGAGAACAAGCATGTCTGGCATCCATTTCTCTCTCATGAGGAAGCTGGCTAATTCTAAGCGCCAGGGGAGACATGGAGAAGTGGACCCCACATCTTGCTGAGGGGCGTGTGGATTGAGACAGGGTGTGGCTCTTTGTGCCCACAGTCATGCAGTTCTGGTGTGAGCATCGTAAAGTCCCACGCATGAGCACAGTCACACATCCACACGTACAAACACATGCACACAAACACATATGTACACAGAGGAGTCACTGAGTCATGTAGCGGAAGTTCGCTTCTCTTTGCTTAGGGAGAAGCCAGAGGAAGCCACCAGAGTGCACTACTAAAGATGGAAGTCTGGTGATGAGGGTTTACCACACGTGCCAAGCAGCAATGAACATGTGAGATTCCGTGCACAGGACAGTGGCAAGGAAACAAAATCAAGCAAAAGGAAATCCTCCAAGAAGCTGCTCTGTGGAAAGTACCATCTGCAGTTTGACCCTCTCACACAAACCAGCACCATAGGTAATTAGTAAGGACACACATGTATCCAGAGTACATTTCTGAAGCAATGTCAGTGGGGTTGATTTGAGAGGAACTGGAGAGCGCTTAGACTCAAAAAACATTGGATGCACTATGAAAGTCTTAATAAAAAGTATATTTAATAAAATTAGTCAAGTGGTCATCTATATGGGGAACTAGAAAAAGAACTCATGAGAGATCATAAGATGCTACATCGGGGTGGGGGTGGGTGGGGCCACAGACAGGCTACAGTGAGAAGCCGCACTAAACCCAAGCACATTTGTAGTCTGGCCCTATCCAAAGGAACAGGATCTCCAACCGAGAAGGATGGCGAGACAAAGACGCAGAGGTTCCATAGCTGGTGCCTCTGAATAAATGAGCATGCTTCTGTGGCACAGAAAACCAGGCTATGCCCAGGCAGGAGACAAGGGCCGGCTGCTGCTCCCCAGGCCTGGAACTCTCCCACACTTGCTGAGTGCCCTCCAGCCAGCCCTCACACCCACTGGACTGTGCCAGCTGAGGCAGAAGGAGGGCTCTGGAGTCAGACCACCTGAGCTCCTGGAAAAGCAAATCACCTTTCCAGCCTTGATGAACCTAAGTGTTTAGGCCTATAAAATGGGTAGAGTTGTGCTAATGAGGCAGCAATGGGCAGGAAGTATAGCGAGCACAATCTGCAAAGTCCCTCTCCCATGGAGCTTTTATTCTGGTGGAGACAGATGTGGGAAGAGGGGAAGAATGTGTTTGCAGTTGCATTCCCAGCACCCAAACTGCTGAGTGTCTTCCCACTGCTGAGAGAAAAAAAAAAAAAAAAAAAAAAGGCAACTCGAGGAGGAAAGGGTTGATTTCAGCTCACATTCGAGGTAGCCTTTGGCACAGCAAGGGAACCACAGCGACAGGAGCTTGAGGCAGCCAATCACATTGCATCCACAGTAGGGGGGGCGGGGTGCTGCTGGGTGCATGCTTCAGCTCCCTCCTCTTTTGGTGGGGGAGTTGAGACAGGGTTTCTCTCTGTAGCCTTGGCTGTCCTGGACTCACCCTGTAGACCAGGCTGGCCTCGAACTCACAGAGATCTCCCTGCCTCTGCCCCCGCAGTGCTGGGGCTGCCACCACCACCCTCCTTTTCACTGGTCCAGAGCCCCAACCTGTGAAACAGTGCTCCTCACACTCAGGGTCCTCGCACTTCAGTTTACCCAAGAAAGAAGAACCTTCGCCGGCATCCTCACAGGTCCGTTTCCTAGTGATCCTAGATTTTGTCCCGTTGACGATCAACACCGACGGTCACAGTCACTCAGCTAATATCTGCAGACTAGTATTTCATAGTGTCTCTCGGCAGATAGCTAGAAAGAGGTGTGGGGTACTGCAGGTGAGAGGGACGGTTACTGTGCTGGCCCTGCCAGTCAGGGAACACCCCTGACAGAGATGATATTCGGAGGAAGTGAGGGGATCCGCTCCAGGTATGTCTGGAGACTGTTGTAGTCACAGACGTGGGCTGGGCGTGGGGGTGGGGCGGGGATAGAGAAGCCAGAGTAGCTGGAGCGGAGGGAGGGACACAGGAGGGACAGAAGCGTCTGAGTCTCTCCCACAGATGGGCCAAGCACGCAGCAGAAGCTCTGGTCCACCTCTGGTGACAAGTCTTGGGTAAAATAACACAAACTCCACTTCTTTTGCTGTATGCCAGGCCCCGATTTCTTGCCATTGAATCTAGGGACTGTCACTGGCCCTACGAATGGGAGATATTCTTAGCCCCATTTTCCAGAGCAGCCAGACAAGACGCCCCAAGAAGCCGCTGGCCTTGAAGTGGAGCCAGATCTCTTTGATGCCAGACCCCGGCTGTCTCTGACCACATTGTCCTAAAATTCTTTGTTTACAGCTCGCTTTCCTCTGCCGCAGCCAGGCACTCGGTCTCATTCATGGTTTTATTTTACTTCCAAGGTCCCTTGTGTCCAAACCTGCTCAAAAGAGCAATTGAATGAATGAGCCTTTCGGGGGCGGGCCCTCCCGCCTCTCAGGCATCTCCAGTTTGGATCTGGAATTGGGAGAGGGCTGGACAGGAATTCCAAGCCTCCAGAGGGTCAGGAGCAGAGGGGAGGGGGAAACCGGGAGAAAGCGAAAGTGAAGGGAGCTGGAAGCCCCCGTCAGGAGGCGCAGACAGGGAAGGAAATCTCCGGGTCAGTAATAATTCATGGGCTCAGGAAGCAGCCCCGGCTGGAGCCCTGGAGCTGCGTTTGCGGCCGGCCCTGTGGGGAGGGGCCTGAGGAGACTCCTTACTAAAGCCCAGCCTGGCTGGGTCACGGTCAAACGGTATGGGGGCTGGGGAACCAGGTGTGGGGACAGGCTATCCCTACAGAACTTGGACTCTGAAGACTAGGGTTTCCTCTCCCCTCTGCTCCGACGTAGGCCCCTTTCAGGACTAGATCGGGGGCTGGGAAACACAGCCCTTGGAGCTGGAAGGGGTCTTCCAGAAAACCAAGAAGCTCCTCCAAGCCTTCGCTCTCCGCAGCTCTGACCACCATTTGAGGGCGGGGGAGAGGGGAGCGGGGCAGGGGGGACGGCAAAAAGTTATTTTCAAAGCCAAGTGGATGCTTATTTGACCAGTACTGGGATGGCACTGAGAAGCAGGTATGCTGTGACGAGGACCCCAGTGACCATCATCTGCTCAGTTAATCCCCCTAGGTCCTTGACGGAAGAGAATGCCCACACTTCGTTCTGAAATTCCTGAAAAAGCGGGGAGAGGCGCCGACAGGAGATGAGTCAAGCCTGTGGGGATCCCCAGAGTGGTGGCCACCTGCACATCGCGGGCACCGCCCTACAACTTCAGCAGACACAAAGCTGTCCTGTTGGCTCCAAAGTCTCAGAAGGAGCAGTTAATTTCGCTCTGGTCTTTATCTTCCATGCCTGACATATAGCAGAGCCCCGCCAAATAGGTGTTAAGTGACTGAATGGGACTTGGGTGTTTGTTTTGCTGGAAAGGGGGGCGGGATTGTCGTCTTCGCTCTCCTGGGACAGAGCCAGCATCAGAGTGCACGCTGGTGAGCTCGTATAAAAATGCAGTTTCCTGGGCCACACTCCGAACGGCTGAAGGAACGGCTGAGGGTGAGAGGCTCTCGGTCCAAAGCAGGGCCCTGGCCGCGGTTCTGACGGTACACGGAAATTGCTGGGACACTGGGTTAGACCTTGGAGCGCCAGGGGATGCTCACATCGGGACGGAGGAAACAGACCGTGCTAGCTTGTCGTGCTAACCTGCCAGCGGTCTCCCAGGGGTCTAGATCTGCGCTCCCGACCAGCCTGAGCACAGAGCCTTCGGTAGGGCCCGGAGCTTCGGGGCCACTTTCAACTGGGGACGCCGAGAGGCAGGCACAACGTCATTGGCTGGGCCCGGGCGGGGCGGGGCGGGGCGGAGGGCGCCCCATTGGCCCCGCCGGGGCCGCCTCGTGATTGGCTCCTCCCCCGGCTATAAGGCGACGGCCGGCGCGGCTGTGGGAGCGCGCGGGAGCGCACGGCGGGGGCGGCGGCTCGGGGTCCAGGCGGACGGAGGCCCGCGGCCGGGCGCCCATGGCGTTCGCGCTGCTGCGCCCGGTAGGCGCGCACGTGCTGTACCCGGACGTGCGGCTTCTGAGCGAGGACGAGGAGAACCGCAGCGAGAGCGACGCGTCGGACCAGTCGTTCGGCTGCTGCGAAGGGCTGGAGGCGGCCCGGCGCGGCCCGGGTCCCGGGGGCGGGCGGCGGGCGAGCGGCGGCGCGGGCCCCGTGGTGGTGGTGCGGCAGCGACAGGCGGCCAACGCGCGCGAGCGGGACCGCACGCAGAGTGTGAACACGGCCTTCACCGCCCTGCGCACGCTCATTCCCACCGAGCCGGTGGACCGAAAGCTGTCCAAGATCGAGACGCTGCGTCTGGCGTCCAGCTACATCGCGCACCTGGCCAACGTGCTGCTGCTGGGCGACGCGGCCGACGACGGGCAGCCGTGTTTCCGCGCGGCGGGCGGTGGCAAGAGCGCGGTCCCCGCCGCCGACGGCCGTCAGCCGCGCTCCATCTGCACCTTCTGTCTCAGCAACCAGCGCAAGGGGGTGAGTGCGCAGCTCGCCTGCCCGCTGCAGCCGGGAGATCTGGCTTGGGGGCGGGGGCGGGCCTCCCCAAGAGAAGGGGAATCGACCTCGGAGCAGTGGCAGGGACAGTGTCTCATGCCCTAGCATTAAAGTGGAGCACAGCCTCTTGCTCAGTCACTAGACAGAAAGGGTAGAGGGGAGCCCAGAAAACTCTGGTCCCACTTGATTGCGCCTTGAGAGGTGCCTGCACTTTGGGACCTTCCTCTTGGCCTGATGCTTGCCCTCTGGGCACTTCAGATAAAGGCACTGCTCACATTTACAGGAAGCAGGCTCACCCTGAATAAACACCTTTAATAAATCCAGGTCCTAAGACCTGAACCAGGAGCAGGAGACTGAGAAGAAGATGGGAACAGGTACCTGTACGCGAGAGCCTGAGACCTCAGCCTGTGTGCAGGAAGGGGTCCGGGAAGAGTGCCCAGCACTAAGAAGGGTGTGGAGTTTGGAGGGGACGCTGTTGTCTGCTTGTGGCTAAGTTAAGAGGCTGGCTGGGCACTGGGGAGCCACAAGTCTCTTTGCACAGGCTTGCTTGGCCCTAGGCTCTCACCCTTTCCAGCCTGGGCTTTTCTTACATCGAGGAAGACAGTTTGTGTGACTGACTTAGATCAGCAGCTGCTGTTTACATCTGGGGAAACTGAGGCTCAGAAAATATTGGCTTGCTCTCCATAGCCATTGAGGGAACGGACCATGAGAACTGTATTCGGTCCCCTTCAACTCAGCACACTGCTTCCCAGCTCCACCCTGGGAAGGCCTCAGTGGCCTGGCCTCGGACCAGCCCTCTGGCTCAGACTCCCAGACTGTCTTCCCAGGCCTCGGGTGCCTCTGTTTCTCTGAGTGACTCTTCTTAACCTCTGCCTGGTACGCTTTTAAGAGTCCTGTCAGTGTCCCAGGGGGGGGAGGGAAGTCAAAGCAAGTCTTCAGGTGTGCATCTGGGATGCAAACGCTAGCTGGGCCCACCACAGTACTCCTCTCAGGCCTGTCACCCATTCATCCAGCCCAGCTGTTCCTAACCACCCAGCTCTGAAGCAAATGTGGTCCCTACCTACCAGCCAGCCAGGGACTCCCAGGGTAGCATGAGGCCAGGCGTGGTGGTGCATGCCTTGAGTCCCAGCAGAGGCAGGCGGAGCTCTGTGAGTTCAAGACCAGCCTGATCTACAAAGCTAGTCCAGGATAGCCAAGACTACACAGAGAAACCCTGTCTCGAAAAAAGAAAACAAAACAAAAAAGAATCCAGTATAGCATCAGACTAGGGCAGAAGGAGGAAGGCAAGGATACTGTGGTTTGATGGGCCTTTGAGAGCCCAGGGGTAAGCCCAGCCCCAGAGTGAGACTGAAGAGCTTCTATACTAAGTTCCTAAAAGACGTGTGGAAACAGGCAGCACTCAGATAAAGGGGTGGGAAAGAGTGATTTAGAGCGTGCGTAGTAAGGCCTGGCGTTTGCAGTGAACCTTCCTATAACACGATTCTTTAATACAGTTGCTCATGTTGTGGTGACATGCACACACACATACACACACGCGCGTGCGCAGCATGAAAGTATTTTGCTGCTACTTCATAACTGCAATGTTGCCACTGTTATGAATCATAATGTAAATATCTGATATACAAGATATTTGACCCATGGGAGAGGGTTGCTCCACCCCCCCCGCAAGGGGTCACGACCCTCATGTTGAGAACTGATGGCATAGACAAAGTTGCGGTAAGTGGGAAGATAGTAAAGGCAGAGATAGACTGCAGTCGCAGGAGTCTTCCAGGTACTGATCTTCGCTCAGCACTCTTTATTTAGGTCCCTTGACAGGTGGAGAAGGAGCCCTGTGGCCGTCCGCACCTGCGTGGATAGGCTGTCCTTGCTCAAGGTGCACGGCAGTGATAGAGCAGGACTGGCATCTGGCCTAGCTAACTGGAACGGGGGGGGGGGGGGGGGGGCACAGCAGGAGGTCCCTGTGCCTGAAGGCTGCGGAGAAGGTCCATCCATGCCCACCACCACCTCTGTCAGAAAGGGGGCTCCTTTGTAGGACTGGGGACTGCCCTGTGGTTCACAGGGCCTGGCCTGAGCCTGACTTTGCCTTGGAATCTGTCTGTGGGATTAAGAACTCAACCAAATTTGGATGTAGAAACCAGGCTCCGTCACACAAGCTCCTCTGGGGATAGGCCAGAGGGGTGAGTCTCAACAGTGCTGGGCCCTCCACAGCTTGTCTGGAGGATATCACATGTTTTGGGGAGCCCCTACACACTTCTGAGCTCTGAGGTCAAGAAGGTCCCAGACCCCACTCCTTCCCAGGCCACTACCTCCCTCTGATCTTGAATGGTCTGAGGTCAGGGTTGCCATGGACACTGTCCCCTGCAGCTCCTTCCTGCTCAGGGGTGGGTGAGGGTTACCTCTGTGGTGGCAGTGTGGAGTGGAAAGCGGGTTCTTGTCTCTGCCCTGTTTTCCCTTCTGTCACCTGGGAGTAGAGCTGGATGGGACCATTCTGTTCCCTGTTGTTGATGTGCCCAGCTCAACAGCAGAGGGCTGACAGGTGCCAGGAGGTGCCACTGGACGATGCTGATAATCGTATTATAAATGTTTATTGACCCTTTACTGTGTTCTTCAAGCTGTACTGAGCTTTTCTTGGTGAGCGTGGTGGCTCAGGCCTGTAACCCCAACTACACAGAAGGACCCCAGGTACATGGCCTACAGGGCAACCGTCTGGAAAAGTAAAAACAAGGCAGGACCTACTTACCTGCCACAAACTAGGATGTGGGTTCCATCTACCGTACCACACACCCAAAGAACTTTACCTGTTCGTGTCTGTCACCTATGTGTCCCCTGCATTAGCTTGTTTATCTATGAAGTATTGCCAAGCTACAGATGGGGAAACTGAGGCTCAGTCCAGCACTGAATCCGTGTTAGAGCAGGAGCATCCCTGCTGTACCTGTACCTGGCTAGAACCTCTTCTCAGGGTTCTTGGCAGTAGACACAGCTGTGTGCTCATTCCACTGTACCCTGGGCGCGGGTGGGCAGGGGGGTGGCCTCCATTCCACAGATGAAGAAACTGAGGCTCAGGGAGGTGAACTGTTCCAGCAGCATTCCCACGAAACCCAGTTCTCTGCATGACCTCCAGACTCAGGATAGGAGATGCGGTGTTCCTTGTCTCTGAGGACCCAAGAGTGAAGTTGGGGGGGGGGATTCTGTTCTCCCTCTCCCTGCCCCATCCAACCTTCTCAACTACTCCTGCCAGAGTCTGTCTGAGAAGCCCAAGCCCCAGGCTCTGCTGGGACCATGGCCTCAGCCCTCAAAATAGCCCTGCCTGTGAATGAACATACTGTCCCTGGGCCCAGAGAGCCTCCAGGGAGGCTGGGCTCACATCTGGATGGATCTGCCCCAACCTGGGCTGGGGCAGAGGCAGGAGACAGCAGAGGCAGGGCTCGCAGATGGTCCCCTGAGGTCACCAGCTCAGCCACACCCAGCCGACTGAACACTTGCTGTGATATTGCATTCTGTACGGGGCCTGGAAGTGGGGCGGCTTGACAGGCAGTGGGGTTCTCCCTAGCTCTTACTAAGCAGCTGGTGTCTCTGGGCCAGTTAACTCAACATTGGAGTCCTCAGAAGAGGGACTGCTATGCTGAGCATGGGCGCTGGCCTGTAACCCAGCACACTGGTGAGTGGGGCAAGGCTGAAGCATGGGTGGCTCCAGGGAGGGCACCAGCAGCCTAACGCAGCACTGGCACCTGCAAGGCTCCAGCCCCACTCTGGGATAACGCCCTTCCCTGCCACTTCCTGGACTCTGGGGCAGACAGGGACAAAAAGGTAAACCTCGCCTCCCTCCTTGGCTCACACCAGGGATGTCCCCAGTAGCAACAAGTGGGAGACAGTCTCGTTCATAGAAACCTTCCTGGGAAGACCAGAGGCAAGGGCATGCTCCCTGCACTGGGAGACCCTGGGTGAAGGCAAGGAGGCCAGAAGCCTTCTGTCTGCTTTTGAGGGTGGCCTAGGTAATGGCTGGGCACGGGCACACACACACCTCATGTGGTTTTCTCAGGTAGCACCTGGAACTGGTGGGAGAGTTTTCTTACCCCTGGATGTAAAATATGCTTTACAGGGTGTAAAAATTGTATGGCCTTGGGGTGTAGCTCAGTGGTAGAGAATATACTTACCATGTACATAGTCCTGAGTTCAATCCGCAGCGCCTCCTGTCCAACATGTATAGGTGTGTCTACTGTGTGTGTGTGTGTGTACACATTTGTACAAAATCGGAGGGGAGTATTTTTGTTTTGTTTTTGAGAAGAGTCATTAGGTAGCTTGTCTGGTTTGGAAGACCAGGCTATGTAGACCAGGCTGACCTCAACCTCACGGGCAAGCCTCCTGTCTCTGGAATTCCAGGCTTCCAGATTCCAGGCATGTGCCAGCATGTATCAGATTTCTTAAGGCAACAGATCTTCAGGTGGCAAAGGAGCGGAAAATGTAAACTGTTGTAAAGGAAGCGTGCCCCTGATGTCGCCTCTCCGGCAATGGCTTGCACATGTGCTCTCTCCAGAAGTGGCACATGCTCTCCTCTGCCCTTGCTGCTGTCACTAAACACTGTCACTCCATGGCGCGCAGTGTCACTCTGGAGTCTCGTCTGCCTTTCCAACAGTGGGCTTACTGCGGGGCGGAACGTCCCTGGGCCTCCATCATAGTTCCCCGGGCTCATCCTCCTGCCATGTCTTTCTCTCCTGCAGGGCAGCCGTCGTGACCTGGGGGGCAGCTGCTTGAAGGCGAGGGGGGTAGCACCACTCCGAGGCCCTCGGCGATGAGTCTGGGTTCTTTCAGTGTTTGCTCCAAGAAGGACTCCGGAGAAAGCAGCCAGGAGCCAGCCCCTAGCTGGACAGGGGGGAAGATTCCAGAAGCCCAAGCCACTCCTGCTTTGTGTAGGGACCAGAGGACAATGGCCTGCACACAGGGCCCACCCTGGAGAGCCACGAGGACCCATCTAGCCATCCAGGCCTAGATGGCCGGGGACAAGGCAGAAGTTTTGGAAAACCAAAGACTATTTTTGAAAGTGTGTGCGTGTGCTTTGAGTGAATGTGATGTGAGAGAGTTGGTGGGGTTAAAATAAAGGTATTTTTAAATAAATGGTGTATGTCCCAGCTAAGGAAGGGGAGGTGGTGTGGACAGTGGGCCTGCATACAAAGCCCTTTCTAGGACTTAGACCGTCACAGCTGTGGCAAAGGCTCCATGTTTGGATGGGAAGCTGTAGGCAGGCTCTCCTCACAGCCTTCTTTTGGCTCCTTTTTATGAGCACCATTGGTGGTAGCCAGAGAAATCCGCATTGTATTCATTTCTGTGTAAAGAATAGATCCACGGTGCAAATCCAACAGCTACTAGAGGGCTTGTGGTATAGAGTCTGCCCTGTCACCCCCGACCAGGTTCTCATTCACGCTGTCTGTCACAGGCCTTTGTGATGTTCCCCGCTCCCCTGAGTGGAGCTTGCTGAGGTCTGCAGTCAGTCTGGAGTTGGCCCCATTCCTCTCTTAGCTGCTTATGCTTGCTGCCTTCTGTGTGCTGTGCTGTGAGCCGCCTCTCACTGTGACATGACCACCCAGCCCTCAAGATTTACCTCAAGTGCTGAAGGCAGGAGCCCTTACCCACCGTAGTTTGGAGAGACTGGCATATGATACCTTGAGATCTGTCCACTTTTAAAACCCAAGTCAGGGGCCATTGAGATGGCTCAGCCAGTAAAGGCACTTGCCACCAAGCTTGGCCACCTTAGTTCAACCCTGGACACACACATGGTGGAAGGAGAGAACAGATGTCCACAAGTTGTCCTCTGACCTCCACATGTATACACACACACACACACACACACACACACACACACACACACAAATACAATAAAATGTGACCAAAGGAAGAGGCAATGCAGTCCTTCCCAGCAGCTCTGGGAGATGGTGCCCATGTTCCCTTCCACTGTGCAGATACAGCCTGGCTAGTAGGGCTCAGGGAGGCACAAGGATCTGGGCTCTCTTGCCCAGCCTAGGTGCCCAGTGTGGCCAGCATCAGAGAAAGCGAGGAAGGCTGTGAGAGGCAGGAACAGCAGCCAGGCAGCCACCCTTATCTCAGCAAGAGACATTCACACACCATTGTTATGCTCTTAGAGAGCAAGCACTTTCATTTCGTGTTTACTGACCACTGCTGGCTCCCATGCCCCCAGGGAGCATGCAGCGCCTCTGGCAGAGGCGCTGTGAGGCTGCCTATTTTGCAGATCGCTAGACAGTTGCCAAATGTCAGTTGTGTCACTCTCCACAGGATCAAGCTAACTCACCCAGGCCTCTCTCTAGACAAAACGGAGGAGAGACACAGGCTGGAGTTAATGGTGTAGCCCAGCACTTAGCCCATTAGCATGGGAGGAGGGTCCCCAGGGCCAATGCTGCCCAGGACACCTTCCCCCACGCCCGCCCTCTCCCTCAGTTCCCAGTGTCCAGGGACACTGGTCTTGCCTGTCCTGTGTCCCAGAGCGCCCACACTTCCCCTCCGGGAGCTAATTAGGAAAGCACATTGCTCTCCCTGCGCCTACCCTGCTCCAGGTACCGCAGCGTCTGCCAAAGCCACAGGAAGAGGACTATGACCTTGTCAATGGCAGGAAACCTAGGAGGGGGGCAAAGCAGACACTTGGGTGCTTTGGGCTGGAAGCCTACTTCTGCCACCAGATTCGCTGGGTGACCCAGGAAATGTTGCTTGACCCATCCAGGCCTTCCCAGCCCAGCCTCTAACAGGCCATAGCAGCAAGACCAGAAGGAGGAGTGTTTTGCTTTGTGAAAACATTGGCTTTTAAAGCACTCTGGTGCAGTGAACAATCAGCTCACATCCCACCTAATGGTAAGCAAGGAAGGGCACACACACCCCTCAGTTCCCCGCTCCCACAAGGCAACAGCTGCAAGGAAGAGTTTGCCTGTGCTGGTTTCGATCTCTGCAGAAAACAATATTCATTGGTTCCTCTGCTTGCGTCTTTATCGGAAGAGTTCAAGTTCTTCGTGGCTCTAGAAACATCATCCATCCCAAAGTCGTGGCAGTGGAGCCTGCAGTCCTGGGGAGTCTGATGAACACACCTGTCATCAAGTTCAACTTCTCCATCCAAACAGGAAGTATCTTAGAGTTGATGCCTTGAATTCTCACCTCCCACTTGCACCTGTGGACGAAGCAAGAGCTGGAGACAGAGAGATATCAGCTTTTGAGGGCAGAGTTCAAAAAGGCATGTCCCAAACCTCCTCCTAGCAGCCAATTCCAAGGCAGGAACTGCTAAGCTGGGTCTTAGGAATTCCCACCAAGGGGACCTATGTCATACACAAGGGGGGGGGGATGTGCACACCTGTGGCTTGCTTTATTTGACATAGTAGTGACAGCCTTTTGCACACTATGAGTTGTTCTCTCAGTATAGACCTTGTGCTTTTTTACAAAACTCTTGATATTCCAGGAGCCATGCCATCACACCTGCCATTTGTGGCTTGTTGTTTTTCTGAGCAATGGACAGTCGATGTCTTTGTGAGCTGCAAGGCTAGCCCAACACGTGTTGGAAAGGCATAGCTGTGGACCAAGACCTCTGAGGGTCAGTTTCTTAATGGAGCTGACTCCTCCCCTGAAACCTGCCCTTTCTGTCTGCAGGATGGGCTAGCCCAAACAGCTAACTCCAGCCACGCCACCTTGACCCTTGACGGCAGTGTCCCCATCCCCACCAGCAACCTTCCTATAAACATCAGCCTGAGAATGCTCTAGGAGTGCACTTCACAGTGAGGAAACAGACAGATGAGCAACCAGCCTGAGGCTTCCCAGAAGCCCCAGAGAGACCTGGCCCCAGGATCTCAGGACTCCCTCCCTTGCCATGCCACAGGTTGCACCTGGAAACCCTCAAAAATCACTCCCAGCCAGAGGGAACTGAAGCCTAGACAGGAGCGCTGATGGGCCAGGGTCTCCCAGCATCTGAGACTGAGCAAGGCTTAGAACGCTTGCTCGTATATGGTTCCTTGATGGACTCCTGTTAGGCTAAATAAAAACAGAACTGAAAGTGTAGCTCACTGATAGAACACATACTTCCTATGCATGAGGCCCTGGCTTTAATCTCCATCCAGCACCTCAAAATTAAAAAACGAAACTGTGAAAGAGTTCTGGACAATCACAAGCAGAAGGAGGACCACAAATTAAGAGCAGCCTGGATAGACAGACCATGTCTCAAATGAAGAAAGAAAGAAAGAAAGAAAGAAAGAAAGAAAGAAAGAAAGAAAGAAAGAAAGAAAGA